GAATTATAACGTTTTGTTTAGACCTTAATTATTCTCGACAATCTAGTAGTTGTGTTGTCTGTCATATCAAGTACATAATTCGTTGTCTGTAATATTCCATATTGTTATCAACTTTGGTCAAGTTGAACTTGGGACAATCAAGTTATATTTAGTTTCTGAAATAGACTATTTTAATCTGTTTTTAGTCTCATTATGGTTGAACTGCCTGTTAATATCGTTAGGTGAAGTTGACGTAGAGGCAGATATAATCTTAATTTAATTATTTATTTATTATCTTTTTAATTTTCAAGATAATGAAGGATATATGCTAGCTACTACAAATAAAATATGTATTTCATCTCAATTTTGACGATGTTTCTCATCAATGAACATAAACATCAGTTGACATTTTTATCGTATCAAAGAATAAACGAAACAATGATGAATATAAAAACCCTAACAGAACGTCAACACACAGAGGCCAACATATACAGACCTCAAAACCAGAAAGAAAAATGACGAACGACCGCGAGGACGTAAAGGAAACAAGGCATGTCTGGCATTGATACATGTTTTATGTTTCTTTTATTTTGTTCACTGTATAAATTGTCTGATAAATAGGCGGAGTGTCGATGCATGAGACAATGAAGCCCTCAGTGAACTGTCATCAGGTAACAATGTCGTTATTTGTATATAATTGACTTTTTTGGGTTTTGTATTTTTTGTGTGATTAATACTGTTGGTTTGTGGTATTTAGCTCCAGGACAAATATAGTCAAATTTCATTTCATAGCACCAGGTCAACACCTTAGCAAGAGTAGGAACGTTATTTCAGCATAAACAGATTTATGCATCACTGATGTATGATGCAGCATCACTGACCAGTCCTAGAGGGACGAAACAGCTGTATGATGCAGCATCACTGACAGGTCCTAGAGGGACGAAACAGCTGTATGATGCAGCATCACTGACCCGTCCTAGAGGGACGAAACAGCTGAATGATGCAGTTTATTTCATCTTTTGGGTCTATTCTATTATATTAGAAATTTGTATTAAATTCTGTTATTCAGTTGTGTGTCTTTCGTATGATTTTAAAGGTTTTATTTTTGATGAACGTCCGAAGTAATTCAGGAAAAATCTTTTGTGAAAAAAGTACCAATAGTTCTATAACTTGTAAATGAAAATTCTACGAGAAATTATCAGAATACTTCAATAAATAGATGTGAAAAAGTTAAGTATATTACGAAGAGAAGGAACCGTTTTTCTAGAACTAGAAAAGTCTATATAAATAACACTAAGAAAACAATAATTTAGTGAATCCCCGTCCCATTTTCCCACGTTTTTCGTGTTTAATTTGTCCACGTGACACAAGGATTATTCCACGTAAACGCTTTAAGTCATAACATATTTATAACACGTAGGATGCCTCACGAAAGAAAATTAATTTAAGACTGAAAAAGCAACCCTGTTTACGAGTCGACATTTCAGTGGGAAATGTTATTAATTAAGACACCGAGTTTTCTAAAGGCTGTTTGGCCTTTCTTTAATAAGAATAAATACAAGCACTGGTACACAATATACTGTAGTCCTAGGTATGTAGGTTAAACAGTTGTGATTCAAGTATTTTCAAAAATATGACACCTCTATAATTTGTTGTTTCAAGGTTTCTGCTGTAAGCGTTAAGTGTCTCACTTTTGGAAACAGTTAGGGCGTGGTGAGGATTGAAGGTTTCCGTTAGTTTATGTGGTTCCCAAATAAATGTGTATCGTACTATTTTTCTTGTTTATTTGTGTTGCTATTTATGTGAGATACAACATATCGCCATTCTGTGGCGAGGGAATATTCTGTAACATTATCGAAGTCGTGTTGGTATGACGGTACAATAACACATTTGGGTTGGGCCTGTTGGTAAATGTTTCAGTGAACGCGGTTTTGATGACGTCAAGACAAACAAAACTGATTAATATATGTACAAAAATCTGTCTATATCGACGATATAAAATACGTGACTTTTTTTCTCGCTCGAGGAAATTATCACCGGTATAGTTTTGAATATATCTTGTTTGTTAGGAAGAGAAACCACACTTAAGGTTGTCACGTGATGACCACAGAGCGTGTAAGTAGAGCGGTAATATATTATAAAATCGATTTATATCGGTGTTTGCCATTATCTAATTTTGACCAATCAGAGGACGTGGTGGCCATCTTAGTCACCGATGTCATAATTGGATTGGATAGCAGTATTCCTATCAGTATCTATCTTAGATATTTTTATCTGGTGATTAGTGTATCGGAAAAAACTGAAAAAGCTATCATAAAATATTGGTACTATAAGATAAACACAATAGCAACTGTGTTGTAAAATATACTGAATACTCTTAAGATAACAATAAACAACAACAAAATACCAACATGTCAACATAATCATAATCCGAACTCAGATTCAATAAAACTAGGACAGAAACAACAAAATACCAACATGTCAACATAATCATAATCCGAACTCAGATTCAATAAAACTAGGACAGAAACAACAAAATACCAACATGTCAACATAATCATAATCCGAACTCAGATTCAATAAAACTAGGACAGAAACAACAAAATACCAACATGTCAACATAATCATGATCCGAACTTAGATTCAATAAAACTAGGTTAGAAACAACAAAATACCAACACGTCAACATAATCATAATCAATGTCAAATCAAGACAACAAAATACCAACATGTCAATAATCAACTAACTTAGATTCAATAAAACTAGGTTAGAAACAACAAAATACCAACATGTCAACATAATCATAATCCAAACTCAAATTCAATAAAACTAGGTTAGAAACAACAAAATACCAACATGTCAACATAATCATGATCCGAACTTAGATTCAATAAAACTAGGTTAGAAACAACAAAATACCAACATGTCAACATAATCATGATCCGAACTCAGATTCAATAAAACTAGGTTAGAAACAACAAAATACCAACATGTCAACATAATCAAACTAGGTTAGATACCAACATGTCAACATAATCATGATAAAACAATAAAACTAGGTTAGAAACAACAAAATACCAACATGTCAACATAATCATGATCCAACAAAATACCAACATGTCAACTTAGATTCAATAAAACTAGGTTAGAAACAACAAAATACCAACATGTCAACATAATCATGATCCGAACTTATTCAATAAAACTAGGTTAGAAACAACAAAATACCAACATGTCAACATAATCATTCCAAACTCAATTCAATAAAACTAGGTTAGAAACAACAAAATACCAACATGTCAACATAATCATGATCCTAAACTACAACATTCAATAAAACTAGGTTAGAAACAACAAAATACCAACATGTCAACATAATCATGATCCGAACTCAATAAAACTAGGTTATACCAACATGTCAACATAATCATACTCCAAACTCAAACTAGGTCAGAAACAACAAAATACCAACATGTCAACATAATCATAATCCAAACTCAAATTCAATAAAATTAGGTTAGAAACAACAAAATACCAACATGTCAACATAATCATGATCCAACATGTCAACATAATCATGATCCAAACTCAGAACTAGGTTAGAAACAGTCAACATAATCATGATCCAAAAAATAAAACTAGGTTAGAAACAACAAAATACCAACATGTCAACATAATCATGATCCGAACTTAGATTCAATAAAACTAGGTTAGAAACAACAAAATACCAACATGTCAACATAATCATGATCCGAACTTAGATTCAATAAAACTAGGTTAGAAACAACAAAATACCAACATGTCAACATAATCATGATCCGAACTTAGATTCAATAAAACTAGGTTAGAAACAACAAAATACCAACATGTCAACATAATCATGATCAGAACTAAGATTCAATAAAACTAGGTTAGAAACAACAAAATACCAACATGTCAACATAATCATGATCCGAACTTAGATTCAATAAAACTAGGTTAGAAACAACAAAATACCAACATGTCAACATAATCATAATCCAAACTCAGATTCAATAAAACTAGGTTAGAAACAGCAAAATACCAACATGTCAACATAATCATAATCCAAACTCAAATTCAATAAAACTAAACATAATCCAACATGTCAACATAATCATCAATAAAACTAGACAATAAAACTAGGTTAGAAACAGCAAAATACCAACATGTCAACATAATCATAATCCAAACTCAAATTCAATAAAACTAGGTTAGAAACAACAAAATACCAACATGTCAACATAATCATAATCCGAATTTAAATTCCATAAAACTAGGGCAAATTATGATCAAACGAAACATGGAAACTCCTGAAAAAGTACAAGGAGACCAGTTGTTCAGGAAGAGTAAGCGTCTTCTGCTTCATAGCAATGTATACCACAACAGCACCAACATGCAAACTAACGAGCACAAAGCTGGTCCACCTTCATATCGTCAAAGAAAAAACACTGAGGTCACTATGGCGACCATAAAACTTCCCCATATTGTCGTCAACCTGCATCATTTTAAACCCTGTGTAATGAGTCTGTTGACAATTTTAGTAACAAATTATTCATTTGGCTAATGACACTTCTTAAATGTGTATGTTTCAGGAGAAAAGAATTCCAATGTAATTATATACGATGTAATAAAGAACACACATTGTGTTGTGGCAGATCGTGATTTTAGTCAGGCAGTGAGATATATGGCTAGATGGTAACCATCATAAACGTAAACATGTTTAGAATGTGAAATATATGATAAAAAACTTAATAAATGAACTTTGATAGGGACATAAATTTAACCACGTGCTTTAGTGACGTAACAATTAGCCTTTGACCTGTCAACAGATTCTGAACAGCGGTCAGCTGCATTAATTATAGAAATATATTCACTTAAACAAAACCGTGACTGTCAGTTGTAAAATTAGCATTAAAAGAAAGGGAGTGTAGGGACATAACTGTGTGAGAGAAAGTTCTCGGACTGTGTCTACAGGGGAATAAACCTCTCGATAAAGACAATGACAACTTTTGAGTTGAAGTGGATAATTATTATTGTGATAGGAAGCACATGGTTACAGACTGTTGATGGTAATGACTTAGTAAGTTGGTATTATCATTCTCGATCGTACAGTCGTCTGTGTTATTGTTCTATTTACCTGGATTCGTGTTATCCCAATGGATGTGTGTCAGACGGAGGGTGCAGTATTCCTTTACCCAAAAACTATATTGCCCAACATCTACACGGAAAAACCATTACTATTGATGGAAAACTTGACGACCCCGCCTGGGAGGAAGTGCCGTGGTCTGCTACATTTGATGGTAATTAATTTACAATACTTCTTTCATCGTTTTAGGGGAATATTACGCCAAAATCACGATTTACCATGAAAATAAATTTTGATGAAGGACCTTGCCGTGATAAACCAATAACATAGATTGTGTAAATATGTAAAATTTGTATTAGAAACATATATTCTAAAATACGAAATTTAAGAGGGAAGTCATTTCCGATATCTGGTTAAGTAAGACTTTTGTCACTATCGGATGGATGAGTGTATAGCACAGTATATACTTTTTATTTTCCTTCAAAGTCTCAAAATGCTGTTATGATTTAACTTAGTAAGATACACTGTATTTAGTAGAAATTGTTTTATGTTACGAAAAGATATTGATAAAAAGTGTTAAAGTGAAAAATGCTATTTACTTCTCAACCACTGTGTAGTGGAATCTTCTCAAAATCGTCCAAATTCAGATATTTAAGTTATGTTCAAAATTACCTTGATCAAAATAAAGTAGCTCACGGTCATGAATGTGATTGCCCTGACAACCAAATTACGGCTTTTTATTGTTAGCCATTACACCTGAACGACTTTAGAATATATGAATTATGTATTATATGTTTGATAGTTATAAATTATACGCAAGAACATAAAAACTGATGTTTTAATGCTTCTGTACTCCAGTCTTACACAGGACACTAATTGACTGTAAATGTTGAATCCTTCAAAATGTTTCTCACGTGTGTTAAAGTAAAGTGATTGATCGCTCAAGGCATAATTAAATCTGTACATGCATCCAAATTTAATATATTGCAGTTGGCAATAGAACTGATTCATAAATTCTGCCTACCACTTTTGAATACTGAAATGGTAATATTAATAATCTTATCAAATGTTTTACTAAAATGGAAAGTCTTCCCAAAAGGCAATGTTTAAAAAAAAACAAAAACAAAACTCAAACAAAAACAAAAATTAAACAAAAAACATATGTTTTATTAATATGAGAGTAATTCCAAGTGCTGGGCTAACTAATTATCTTCAACGAATGCATACCACGATGCATAATAACAAACCTTAATGTAAATATGAATTTAACTGTATCCTTCATTTGTGCACCTGTGCCATTTTCCTTTAACTTGATATTTATGAGCAAGCATGGCATTTTTACCTTATCTAATAACTTTCGCGATTTTTTCTTAACGTCTATCAAATCTGTTGAGAGCTACAGCCTTTCCTCCACTACGTGTGTTTTCTCTTCCGAGTTTGATTAAGACGTAAGAACCAAACGTTATGTCATATCAGGAAATTATTTTTGATGCTTGATCTCAAACAAAATGTTGATCAGCAATTGTGCTGGACAAACTGAACTTACGTGAAATTTTAAAAGCAGCGAAATGTAGAAAAAATGTTCCTTTTAAACTAAGTCCTAAATAATTTGAGCAGACAATGCTGTTGAACATTTAGTTCCCTCGGCTTGCTGTAACCTGTATGCAACGTTTAAATTCATTCCAATAGTGGCACTGTTCAGAACACGGTACACATATGACAATGGACTTGTTCACCTTCCTATCTATAATTTGACATTTCATTTGATCACTTTGCATTTTCTTCATTCTCCACCTAACTTTAAAATCGGGGCTCTTAACACCACAACAACGATATGATACATGAGCTGACTGTATCTAATTCTAACCTGAAATTAAAAGGTGCTATTTATATGTGTCATTTGTACAATCTTCGTGGAATTCTAGTCCCGCCACACACATACACTCTTGTTTTTGTGAGTTGTAAGCGATGACATCATTTGTGTCTTTTTTTTTCATTATACGTTTTATTTGTTCTGGTGCTTGTATGTCAGTTTTATTTCTTTGTTATTTTGATTATTTCTTGTTGAACTATTGAACTAATCCACAGACTTAAAATAGCGTTTGCCATTTTTATCTAGTGTTTGAGTTTCATTTTCGTCGTAGTATGTACGAAATGTTTTTGATGTAGTCTATAAACCCTGTTAGTCCACAATAAGGAAAGAGGAGAGAGATGTTGTTTACATGTATGCAATAGATTTATTGAAAACCGACTGAAGAGTGCTTACAAACTTTGGATTACCAACATGACAGGCAATAACAATGTTTTTGAATCGACGCCAATAAACTTACCAAGTGCGGTTTGAATCCATTCTTGCAGGTAATGTTTACCACATCTTATCTTATTTTTTAATTATTTCAGATATACGTGGTCACACTTTTCAAAAGCCTAAGCTAAACACAAAGTTTAAGCTCAGATGGGATGACAATCACCTGTACGTAGCCCTGCACATGCAGGCCAATAACATGTGGGCAACGATGACAGCGGATGAATCACATTGTATGTATTCAGAAACCAACAGAAATAAAAGGATACCATTTCCAAACACGATTTTGTGTAATTAGTACGTTACCTTTTCATAATTGTTATAATTTCAAAAGACTGTTATATATAGCATGTCTCTTTAAAAATACAATTTATATCGTTTTCGAATGACTGATTATCGATTTCTTAATCATCAAAATTGTAATGTCTGATATCACCATATCACTACTTACCTATTCTGGGTCTATAGAGGTATATGTAAATACACTTGTTTTCAAACATAAAATGAAACAATCAAACTCGATAGTAGAAAAAGTTCCAGCTGTTATTCTATGAAGTACGTTTTATGTTTTCAGTATTCAAAGAAAATGCAGTTGACGTAAGTAGCAATCAAGGGAGATAACTGTCATTACCTATAGCATAGGATGGAATTTTTGTCTTACTTTTATATTTTGATATTTCTTGTTTTTTATGGTGTTTTATTAATTTCCCCTTGGTTCATTGAAATGCTCCTTTCTTTCATGTTTGGTGTTTGTTCTAATATTGTTTCGTTTCCTGGTCATGCTTTGGTTGATGTGCTACAACAATATATAGAATAGGTAGGAATCACACACCAAAATGGTCAGGGTGATAATGTATTTGGATTCACGGTCATTGTCAACATGGTCAAATAGCTATCGACAGGGCGTTAAACATAAGAAAACCAAACCTTATAAAATGTAAACGTTATCAAAAATGATTGAAAAACCAACAATGAACTGAAAATTGTCTGTACAATAATACTCTTTATAATGACTATTGTTAAAAAGCAGTCAATGGTTTTATTATGCGATAATTTTACCTAAAATAAGACATTTGTGGTGATTTATTTGCCACCTGTGATGCAGTTTTATCCATCATTTGGCTGATGGATATGTCCTTTTGTAGAAGTTATATACCTCTCAGTTTGATGTATCGTTATTCTAAGGAAAGTATTTTGAACTTATGTATTATCATATATCTTCGTGGGATTCAATTTTCTTGTTTTCTGTGTTTTTCTTAATCACTTCCTAGTCGTGGTAGGTGCAACACAATAAAGCTATTTATACACCATTTAAAAGCGCGTAGACAAGTACTGGATAACCAGTCCCCCACAGACAAGTACTGGATAACCAGTCCCCCACAGACAAGTACTGGATAACCAGTCCCCCACAGACAAGTACTGGATAACCGGTCCCCCACGAAAATGAATGATTTTACATAAGTTTATTCGTGATTACTAAATCATTTTCTCTTTCGCTTAAGAGTGTGTGTTAAACTTTCCATGAAACTATTTGTATCATGCTAAGTATCTAACTTTTTGAATTAATTATTTATTGTTTCGTTATTTATTCTAGTGATCAGGATGAATAAAACTATTACAATATTTGTTTCAGTTATTCTTTGCTCCCGATGAAACACTTCACAAGTAAGTACGTAAATAAAATAGGTACATCTCAATCTGATTCAACCAAAAGCTTTTGTGGGAAGCACTGTCTCACTATATAACTTGTCTCACATTCTCGTTGTTGGATAGGTCTGTTGTTTGTCTGTAGTAAACGACGATGAAAGAAATACCATGCAAATCAAGAGTTTTGGATATAACATCGCAGATATTTTCTTAGTGTTGTTTACTTCTCAAAACCGATACGGGTAATGATGTAAGGTATGCAATATAATTATGATATAAGAAGGCAACTAGACGGTTCTTTGGATGCGAATTTATTTTGCAGTAGTGCTTTTTGTTTTTAAATTTGGATAGAAAAACACACACACAAAAAAAAAATAAAAACACAGAAGATATCAAAAGGATTTACATAAAATATCCCTCCCCATCACATCATGAATTTACCAGTTAGGGAGTATATAGTAATATGTATATTTACAGTTCAACTAACACGTTTATTTTCATACTTTTAGTTATAAACAGATCGAGGGCAACGTTCGGAATGCGACCTTTGATATTAGCCTCACAAAGGTAATATTATATGTTTGAACTATTTTATAAAATGCTTTTATATTTAGTACCCTTTAAAACCATCTGATGGTTCCATAGTTTATGAGAACGTGACATTAATTACATGGGTAGACCAAGCTTTACATTTGTTGCCGATCAGGTAGAATACGCTTACTACTCCGGCACACCTGGTCTTATTCTCCTCGTACTTTTTTTCAGGAGAATCCGTGTACATTTTTCTTTTGTTCATATTTTGCTCCTGTTATATTGAATTTGACTTTCTGTTTTTGGGATTATTTAACATCTCTTGGTAACTCCCCCGATGCTATGAAAAATATTCTGATTTCTACCGATGCGTCTGGTGTTCGGCTTTGAAATAGGGCAAGGATTGGATAGCTGTTGTCAGTATACCATTCCAGATTTAATTAAAAAGATTGTCTGTATAGCTGAATGACACACTCACAAATATCTGCTTTAAGGAACATTACAGATAGGTATTTGAATGTTGTACTTTCGCAATACGGATGTTTAAACTATGTACCTTTTGTATGCATTGATAACAGATTTTTAAAATCTGTGTCTATATTTTCCTTATCTAAACAGGTATGTATTGTTTTTAGCCCAAACTTTCCGAAGAGGAAAGACTTCCAAGGTATCTAGATACTACTGTTAACAAGAACCTGCTAGGGTTTATCTTTGAAGGTTTACCTGCTTTTCTCGTGTGTTAAAGTCTTGTTGGACAGTAAATGACAACTGCTATTATTTAAACTTGAAGATTTATCACGTTAGTGGAAGTAATTACTGTTGTCATCCGAATACATTATCCAGTATGTACTCAACAAACATATTTTCGTTGGGCTGAAATTTCGTGGTTGAAAAATATTTTTCGTTGGCATTTTATTTCGTTGATGAGTTTTAATCAACAAGTAAGAGAATCCATGTCAAGATTAAAATGTTCTTTTCATTTCATGGACACATGAATCTATGGGTGAACAACACCCGCAAACTCCGTGATAATGAAACCCCCCATGAAAATCATCATTATAACAGTATACTCCGATTGAATAACGAATGACTACTCTGATAAACTTATATTCATTTGATTAGAAGATGTTCATCGTTCCATAAAAATAGGGAAATATTAACAAAACAAAGATTTACACGGAGACTCCTGAAAACGTACAAAGGATAATAGGACCAGGTGTTCCGAAAGGGTAAGCGTCTTCTACATGATCGACGACACCTGCCTTTAAACCTTGATCAATCCATATAAGTAATGTCACATTCTCAAATGAGTATACAACAACGGAACCAACAGGTAAGCTAACGAGTGTCAATTGTTATGGCGACCGCAAAACCTTCCCATAATTTTCATCATCTTGCATCTTTTGAAACTTTGTGTTACGAGTGTGTTCGTTTGTTTACGATTTCTTTAACAGGCATGGCAAATTTAGTACAAATATTGATATTTTAGTTTTCTATTTTAATCAAAGACTCAATTATGATGCTTTAGATTGTAAATATTTTGTTTCCAAATGATAGCGTATTTTCTTTTTGGCGCCACATATAGTATAGTTGCACTTGCGGTGGTTATTTTACTTTATCTATTTCCTCTGTTTGTCGCTGTTATTTCTTCTGCCATATTAGCTCAGAGTTCAGGATATATAAACATGACTTGTAAAATAGATATATGTGTTCTTTCATTTCTTTTTTATTTATAAATATGTGGAATTTTTTCTAGGCTTACATGGATGGTGGATTTGCTAATGAAGCTTGGGAGAGCAACGAGGAAAAAGGAGTTACACATGACGGAACAATCAATAGCCCCGAAGATCCAGGTAAATAACAAACAAAACCAGGTAAAAACAACAAAACCTGGTAAATAACAAACAAAACCAGGTAAATAATAAACAAAACTAGGTTAATAACAAACAAAATCATGTAAAAAACAAACAAAACCAGGTAAATACAAACAAAACAAGGTAAATAGAAACAAAACCAGGTAAATAACAAACAAAACCAGGTAAATACAAACAACACCAGGTAAATAACAAACAAAACCAGGTAAATACAAACAAAACAAGGTAAATAGAAACAAAACCAGGTAAATAACAAACAAAACCAGGTAAATACAAACAACACCAGTTAAATAACAAACAAAACCAGGTAAATAATAAACAACACCAGGTAAATAACAAACAAAACTAGGTTAATAACAAACAAAAACATGTAAAAAACAAACAAAACAAAGTAAATACAAACAAAACAAGGTAAATAACAAACAAAACCAGGTAAATAACAAACAAAACCAGGTAAATACAAACAACACCAGGTAAATAACAAACAAAACCAGGTAAATAATAAACAACACCAGGTAAATAACAAACAAAACCAGGTAAATACAAACAACACCAGGTAAATACAGATAAAACTGGGTAAATAACAAACAAAACCAGGTAAATACAAACAACACCAGGTAAATAACAAACAAAACCAAGTAAATAATAAACAAAACCAGGTAAATAACAAACAAAACCAGGTAAATAATAAACAACACCAGGTAAATAATAAACAAAACCAGGTAAATACAAACAACACCAGGTAAATACAAACAAAACTAGGTAAATAATAAACAAAACCAGGTAAATACAAACAACACCAGATAAATACATACAAAACTAGGTAAATAACAAACAAAACCAGATAAATAACAAACAACACCAGGTAAATAACAAACAAAACCAGGTAAATAACAAACAACACCAGGTAAACAACAAACAAAACCAGGTAAATAATAAACAACACCAGGTAAATAACAAACAAAACCAGGTAAATAACAAACAAAACCAGGTAAATAATAAACAACACCAGGTAAATAACAAACAAAACCAGGTAAATACAAACAACACCAGGTAAATACAGATAAAACTGGGTAAATAACAAACAAAACCAGGTAAATACAAACAACACAAGGTAAATAACAAACAAAACCAAGTAAATAATAAACAAAACCAGGTAAATAACAAACAACACCAGGTAAACAACAAACAAAACCAGGTAAATAATAAACAAAACCAGGTAAATAATAAACAAAACCAGGTAAATAATAAACAAAACCAGGTAAATACAAACAACACCAGGTAAATACAAACAAAACTAGGTAAATAATAAACAAAACCAGGTAAATACAAACAACACCAGATAAATACAAACAAAACTAGGTAAATAACAAACAACACCAGGTAAATAACAAACAAAACCAGGTAAATACAAACAAAACCAGGTAAACAACAAACAAAACCAGGTAAACAACAAACAAAACCAGGTAAACAACAAACAAAACCAGATAAATAACCAAAAAAACCAGGTAAATACAAACAACACCAGGTAAATACAGATAAAACTGGGTAAATAACAAACAAAACCAGACAAATAACGAACAACACCAGGTAAATAACAAACAAAACCAGGTAAATACAAACAACACCAGGTAAATAACAAACAAAACCAGGTAAATAAAAACAACACCAGGTAAATAACAAACAAAACCAGGTAAATACAAACAAAACCAGGTAAACAACAAACAAAACCAGGTAAATAACAAACAACACCAGGTAAATAACAAACAAAACCAGGTAAATACAAACAAAACCAGGTAAACAACAAATAAAACCAGGTAAACAACAAACAAAACCAGATAAATAACAAACAACACCATGTAAATAACAAACAAAACCAGGTAAATAACAAAAAAACCAGGTAAATACAAACAACACCAGGTAAATACAGATAAAACTGGGTAAATAACAAACAAAACCAGACAAATAACGAACAACACCAGGTAAATAACAAACAAAACCAGGTAAATACAAACAACACCAGGTAAATAACAAACAAAACCAGGTAAATAACAAACAAAACCAGGTAAATAAAAACAACACCAGGTAAATAACAAACAAAACCAGGTAAATACAAACAAAACCAGGTAAACAACAAACAAAACCAGGTAAATAATAAACAACACCAGGTAAATTACAAACAAAACCAGGTAAATAATAAACAACACCAGGTAAATACAAACAAAACCAGGTAAATAACAAACAAAACCAGGTAAAAAAACAACAAAACCAGGTAAACAACAAACAAAACCAGGTAAAAAACAAACAAAACTAGGTAAATACAAACAACATTAGGTAAATAATAAACACCACCCGGTAAATAACAAACAAAACAAGACGATACTGTATTATTACAAACATCCTTTGTCTTACCGAATTTATATGGGAAATGTCAATTAATGGCACCTTTTTAACTGTTCCAGTAGTTGAACTCTAGGCAGATGTTCCTTTTCATTGGCCTTATAACGTGTCTAGATTTCTAGAACAACCAGTTAGAATCTTTTGGTCGAGAAATATTCTTTCCATTGAGAAAGGCCTGTTAGAGGCACTAGATATTTTCGCTTGTCTGCTTTATTAACAGATATACTTATATACATATGTCCATCTTTGTTTGATGTAAGTGTACTTTTTTGTACTTTTTCAAAATCCGTAAAAATGTGTTGGTCACGACCTATCCTCGAGCTTCCAGAGAGGATGATCATTAGTGGTCGTACTGACCACCCTTAGCTCGCGATGATGGTCACGACAAACACTATCGTTGTTATTAATGTGTTGATGAGTGCATGTGTTCTGAGCATTTATGAAATATGACTTTTTAAAAAATCCTTTCTTATTTTTTCGATGCGTTATAGGTAGTTTCTGGACAACGGAATGGGCAATACCTTTCCGCACTCTTGCTGAGAGATCTACAAGAAATCAGTCCAAACCATTCGATAATGAAGTCCTCTTTCTACAATTTGCCAGGTAAGATGTTTAAAAACACTTTCCATTTAAACTTCAGTATCAACCTGACATACATCGCCTTTCCAGGTGATAACAGGTAATGAGAGTATCGTAAGGAAAGTGAAATACATCAGTCCGAGAAAGGAAAATGAAAACCAATTAAAAAGGGAAGAGTGACGATATAGCGCTCAATCTTTTGAACTCCACTGCAAATAAAAGAAAACAAATTGTTGTGATGTTTCCAGTTCATGGTATTAACAAGACAAAACTGTCAATTCATAAAAAAACTGTTTATATGACATAACTATGGGCGTATGTATACTATTTTTAAACAGGAGACAAACAATCGATATACAGTATGGATATCAAGTATGCTTTCACATAAGATATAATTTCATGAATATGTGTAAATTATTATTCAACAAAAACTATTGGATAAAATATCACTGTTCCATATTCTTTTATAGAATGAACCAGCATCTTAAAGTGATACGAGGCACCTATGAACTGGTAAGTGTTGGTGAACTTTAATGTTCTTGTTGCTGTAGATGTATTTATTTCTTCCTCTGAACAACCGTCTGAAATCATACCATTTCTTTCGAAGCTGTTTGATGTATGAAAAATGATATAATTGATGCGTGTAATTGATTTAGATAATCATAAAACTTGGAGGCATCATAAGTCCTCATATTAAATATAATCCTTATATCAGATATCAATCCATAGTGATATATAACTAAATTTGTGTACAGTAGAATTACTCTCCTCTCGTAGGAAGCCTTGGGTACTCAATCAACAAACATATCGTATGTAATGCTTATGTTGAATAATCTCCTGTACTTATAGTGGGCATTTTTCTTCTTCTTCTTCGTCTTCTTTGTCTTCTTTGTCTTCTCCTTTCTTTCTTTCTTTCTTTCTTTCTTTCTTCTTCCTGTATGAATGGCGGTGTGCAGGAGCTTTTTCTTTTTTGTCACAATTTGGCCAAAATATTTAGATATCGTCTGATTTCTATGAAAATTAGTTTATACGTGTGATTTTATACCAGAAACACAATGATGTCTGATTGAACAAGATGGCCGAAACCGGTCAACTGAGGCATACGATCGCCCAAAATTTGACCAAATCATCCAATTTCCATGAAATTGTGTGTAAGTGTGGTTTTACTCCAGAAGCACAATAGATGTAAGGTTGAGTGAGATACTATGTAATAATATTACTTAAACATGATAATTTTAATCAAACTAATTTGAACTATCTTATCAAAGACGATATGGTACTTTTTCTACAGGACACTCCTGCTGTAACAGACTGGTGGACTTGGGAACCAATCGGAGCTGTCAATCTTCACATTCCAAGTCGGTATGTATGAGCCTTGACGGTCAAGTCAGTATTTATCAAAGTCGTTATAAACATTACATTTACCTCTTCATAAGGCAATGCACAGTAATAATGATAAACTTTATTTATTTTACAACAATTGCGAAGCAAATTTTTCCATCTTATATAAATCTCCCTTGTTGGCTCGGATGGAAGCGCGCGAGGGGTCTAAGTGTGGGAGGAAACCGGAGTACCAGGGGGAAACCCACGTATCCGGCAGGTGACTACATACCTTTTCACATCCATTCCGGGAATCGAACCCGGACGGCTAGGTGAAATGTACATTCATTTAAGTGTTTACCTGACCAACTTAACGTCTATAGCTACTCACACAGGAATATACTGACACCGATACCAAGATGGCATCCATACGCAAGCCGTTTATTATCCGATAATGCATCACGTGATTACTTTGGTATTACTAATGACCTGATACCGTTAACAAGCGTCAAGATAGTTTGTCACTTAATACACAACTTTGGTGATACTAAGACCTAATACCGTTAACAAACATCAAGATAGTTTGTCACTTAATACACAACTTTGGTAATACTAAGACCTAATACCGTTAACAAGCATCAAGATAGTTTGTCACTTACAAATTATACACATGGTTAATAAAAGATAATTCAGCTCGTTAACGCAATTATTGGAAATACTTTAATTCAACTCGTCGTCAAACTGGATGTTTGAATTTTATGATTTTACGTTTTTTATTATATATGTGTCAAAGTTGTAAAACAATATCTTTTACGATTGTAGATGGGGACTTGTGATGTTTTCAAGAGATATGAAAAACCAAGTGTTTTCTTTTCCGAGATGGCACATTTATAAAACTTTATTTGCAGTTTTTGATGCGTTGCAGGTAAAATTATTTCTTATTGTTAAATGGTTATATTTACATGTATGTAATTATACTTTTGTTTCTGAGTAAGCTTGCCATTTTTTATCTATATTTATGTACGTTATATACCATGGATGAAGGAACACGCTTCTTGTGGTCGTAAATCTTGGAGCCGAAATGTTGTTGTAAGTTTCAAGAAATGATGAGAAAACTAGGAAAACATATTCCTAACATGCTACATTAGGCTTGAAAAGTATTTTAGTATATTTTTGTTACATAATATTGATGTAAAACAAAAAAAGTTAAAAAAAAGAAAAGAAAAAAGTACAAGTTAGGAATATACGTAATTCACGTGTAGTATTATATGTTTATCTGTTTGCAGCAATACAAAGCTATGAATGGTATTTATAGTTCCAAACTAGATGAAATCCCTGTTCCACGTCACGTGTACAGACGCCGCTGTATCGAACTTCCTGTAATAGAGATACTCAGCAACGGATTTGTTGTCACGGTGAAATCTCGCGTCACTGGCGAGACCGGAAGTATAGCTCAAGACCGTGGTATCGCCTTTCACTGATGTACCAGTGTTATTTGTTACGTTGTACGTGATCTTTAACGTCTATAAGATATAAAAAATACGGTTTGGCCTTTAACATTTATTTGTATTCGAAACTGTGAAAAAAACTCATTAAAAAACTGAAGAGGCGATACATGTCGAATTTAAAAAGCAAACATGAGAGATAAAAAAACACATAAAAACAATAAAAACAAATAAATAAATAAACATACATGACACCAACACACAAACACACACCCTAACAAAGAAAACCTTCAAGAGGCACAGTAATTATAGAAAGTAATTTGCACAGTAAAATGAATTCATCTCAAAATATACATGTGCATATTAGGTATTTGCTGGCACGTACTGTTTAACACAATATGACAACTGTACCAAATCGTATTATTTTAACACAATATGACAACTGTACAAAGTCGTATTGTTTTAACACAATATGACAACTGTACAAAGTCGTCTTGTTTCAACACAATATGACAACTGTACATATCGTTTTGTTTTAACACAATATGACAACTGTACAAAGTCGTATTATTTTAACACAATATGAAAACTGTACCAAATAGTATTGTTTTAACACAATATGACAACTGTACAAAGTCGTCTTGTGACAACTGTACAAATCGTATTGTGTTAACACAATATGACAACTGTACAAAGTCGTCTTGTTTCAACACAATATGACAACTGTACATATCGTTTTGTTTTAACACAATATGACAACTGTACAAAGTCGTATTATTTTAACACAATATGAAAACTGTACCAAATAGTATTGTTTTAACACAATATGACAACTGTACAAAGTCGTCTTGTGACAACTGTACAAAGTCGTCTTGTTTCAACACAATATGACAACTGTACAAAGTCGTATTATTTTAACACAATATGAAAACTGTACCAAATAGTATTGTTTTAACACAATATGACAACTGTACAAAGTCGTATTGTTTTAACACAATATGACAACTGTACAAAGTCGTCTTGTTTTAACACAATATGACAATAATTCAAAGTCGTCTTTTAACACAATATGACAACTATACAAAGTCGTCTTGTTTCAACACAATATGAAAACTGTACCAAATAGTATTGTTTTAACACAATATGAAAACTGTACAAAGTCGTCTTGTGACAACTGTACAAAGTCGTCTTGTTTCAACACAATATGACAACTGTACAAAGTCGTATTATTTTAACACAATATGACAACTGTACAAAGTCGTCTTGTTTTAACACAATATGACAATAATACAAAGTCGTCTTGTTTCAACACAATATGACAACTATACAAAGTCGTCTTGTTTCAACGCAATATGAAAACTGTACCAAATAGTATTGTTTTAACACAATATGACAACTGTACAAAATCGTATTATTTTAACAAAATATGACAATTCAAAGTCGTTTTTTTACTTATAACTTAGAAATTGACGTTATGTAAAAACTATCTTTTTGATAAGCAAATGCGAAATGAGATCACAAATAAAATAAATGGCACTTGAAATCTCATCGCCAGTTTGTTATAAAAAATACTCTGATCATCCGACAACCTCTGTGTTACTTGGTTGGGTACGAAGAACGATAACTCTTATTAATGTGAAATTTAAAAAAAAATGGTATGTTTATATCATAGTTTGCCGCTTTTAGTATAAAATCATTTTCTCCGTGTCATAAGTTGATTTGTTGTATTTTAGTTCCACAATATGTAATCAAATTTGAGGAGAGTGTTTATAGTCACTTCACAGATAAACAGCTTTCATATAGAAATTTCTGACGTCAAAATATGTCTCTATATATAGGATGTTTATGTGATTATTATACCGTACATAAAAAATATGTCTCTATATATAGGATGTTTATGTGATTATGATACCGTACATAAAAAATATGTCTCTATATATAGGATGTTTATGTGATTATGATACCGTACATAAAAATATGTCTCTATATATAGGATGTTTATGTGATTATGATACCCTACATAAAAATATGTCTCTATATATAGGATGTTTATGTGATTATGATACCCTACATAAAAATATGTCTCTATATATAGGATGTTTATGTGATTATGATACCCTACATAAAAAATATGTCTCTATATATAGGATGTTTATGTGATTATGATACCGTACATAAAAAATCGGGGAATTTACGAGGATTTTTATTGAGGAATAAAAATGCTTCTGTCGTTTAATTTATTTGTTCTAATTTATTCAAAACAAATTCAAAACTTAGATATTAAAGACATTCAGAACGTAATTACACAAAGTAATCAGTAATTAATTCAAAGTAGATTTTGATATGGATTATTTAGGTTAAGAATGGCTGTTCGTCAGAGGGATTATTTCATCTTTTGTTTATTTTTTTTTTATTTCATTTTATCTCTGTGTGTGCGTGCGTGCGTGCGTGCGTGCGTGCGTGCTTGTGTGCGTGTGGTTTGTTATGTTTAGTGTAATCATATTCACAATTCCTTATTATAATCTCAAGGAAGGATCGCTGCAGGAGTCGGTTTATTAATTAAGAGTTGCCTCCCTTCCACTATAAATCGCTTCGTAATGGATCATTACTAACAGCGAAATATGTAATGTTATGTTACCAAACTTGCTTTGTATTGATAATAATTGAAGTAAATTTCATGTTGGAAATACTAATTAAATATTACTTAGTGGGTCAAAAGATGACTGTATCACCGAACTTGAAATCTTGGAAATCAATCCATGCTCAAGTTTTTTGATGGTACAGATAATGTATGTCTACAATTGAGTGTTAAGTTAACATTAAACTTATAACGTCCATCATTTTGTCTTCTCCTTTTGTTAAATCCAAAACGAAACAACATATATTTGTCACAACGTATTATATTTATGTGAAGAAGAAAATTTGAATTAACTTAAGAACACAATTTTTAATTCAAATTTGTTAAATCCAAATCAAAATAACCTGTATTTAACAAAAATGTTTATATCTATGTTAAAAAGAAAATTTGTAAAAACTTCAGAACATAATTTTAAATTAAGATTTATTAAATCCAAAACTAAATAACGTTTACTTGTCGAAAAGTGTGATATTTATTTTAAAAAGAAATTTTGAATTAACTTTATAGCATAATTTTACATCACCTTTATCTACTGTCATACATTCATTTAATGTTATCCGTCTCAATCGTGTCCTGAATTCAAAAGATACAGAAGCACCATTTCATCGGGGTCAAGAAATTTAAGCTATGTATGTCCCTGGGGTTTTGTTAAAAATCTGTTATGTACAATAAGATAGATATCTATATATATTAGGTTTGGATTCTATCATTTTCATATTGTTCTGGATTATATTTTTGATAAAAGAAAACAAAAAAACCCAAAAATACATGGTTTCGAGAGATGCAGGTTTTTTGTTTGAAAGGATCGATGTCCCTCCTTATCGAAATGCTCAAGCAGTTTGCATCACGTTATTGCTTTTTGTTTTTTTTTTTTTTTTATTTTTTTTTAATTTATGATTTTTTACAACCCGTGTTATTTCATTCCGAAGAAGTGAGATTATCTGAATTGACCTAAGTTTACATTGCGCCTGTCATGATGACTGAAGTAAACGATACTTGCCATTGCGGAACACTTGGTCCCACTTGTTTAAAGCTTGGTAAGTGTCATCCAGTAGTTAGCGAAAAAACGCCATCTGAAGTAAAATTAAATTAGAAAACATAAGTCTGTGGATTGATGAAGAGAACTACACATATTATTAAATTTCTACACAATAGTTTTCGCTAACTAAGGCGACCCTAACGAAGATTTGACGGGATGGAGGTTACACCATTCTACAAACACACGTCCAGACATTCATTATAATCCTTTAAACTCCATTTGTGCATTCCTTAATTATGAACAAGGTGAAGCAAATTTTTTATTCCATTAAGTTTTCAGTATCAATATATCTGTTACCAAAAAGTGTTTTCTTCCTTCATATGTCAAGTGAATATTTAAAGTTATCTACTGGTGGACTATCAGTCCCTGGGTTGGCCTAACCTCTCAGCTGGTGGACCATCAGTCCCTGGGTTGGCCTAACCTCTCAGCTGGTGGACTATCAGTCCCTGGGTTGACCTAACCTTGTAACTGTTGGACTATCAGTCCCTGGGATGACCTAATCCCTTAGCTGGTGGACTAACAGTCCCTGGGTTGACCTAACCTCTCTGCTGGTGGATTATCAGTCCCTGGGTTGACCTAACCTCTCAGCTGGTGGACGATCAGTCCCTGGGTTGACCTAACCTTGTAACTAGTGGACTATCAGTCTCTGGGTTGGCCTAACCTCTCAGCTGGTGGACCATCAGTCCCTCGGTTGGCCTAACCTCTCAGCTGGTGGACTATCAGTCCCTGGGGTTGACCTAACCTTGTACCTGGTGGACTATCAGTCCCTGGGTTGACCTAACCTCTCAGCTGGTGGACCATCAGTCCCTGGGTTGACCTAATCTTGTAACTGGTGGACTATCAGTCCTTGGGTTGACCTAACCTTGTACCTGGTGGACTATCAGTCCCTGGGATGACCTAACCTCTCAGCTGGTGGATTAACAGTCCCTGGGTTGACCTAACCTCTCAGCTGGTTGACTATCAGTCCCTGGGTTGACCTAACCTCTCAGCTGGTTGACTATCAGTCCCTGGGTTGACCTAACCTCTCAGCTGTCGGACTATCAGTCCCTGGGTTGACCTAACCTTATAACTGGTGGACTATTAGTCCCTGGGATAATCTTACCTCTCAGCTGGTGGACTATCAGTCCCTGGGTTGGCCTAACCTCTCAGCTGGTTGACTATCAGTCCCTGGGTTGACCTAACCTTGTAACTGGTGGACTATCAGTCCTTGGGTTGACCTAACCTCTCAGCTGGTGGACTATCAGTCCCTGGGATGACCTAACCTCTCAGCTGGTGGATTAACAGTCCCTGGGTTGACCTAACCTCTCAGCAGGTTGACTATCAGTCCCTGGGTAGACCTAACCTCTCAGCTGGTGGACT